TCAGCAGAGGGAGCACCAAACTGGCGAACACCAGGGTCAACCAGATGGCTAGAGGCCAGCCTAAGAACACAAGCAACAAAACTCAGGGCCATATAACACCACCGGAAAATAGCAGTCCTACCACAACAAGCTCTGGAGATATTATCACACCTAAAGCACAAGAAAAAGGTTTTAAAGCTGAGGTTATGAAAATGGTAGAGACCTTAAAGGAGGGAAATAAAGGTCTCAAAGTAGTACAAGAAAATACAATCAAACAGGTGAAAGAATTGAACTAATGCTTCAAAGAAATTAAAGGAATACAGGAAACTACAATCAAACAGGAGAAGGAAGTGAATAAACTGCTCAAGACCGAAAAATGGACCTAGAAGCAATAACAAAAACAAAACACAATCTGAGGCAATCGCCCGGGTGAAAAACCTAGGGAAGAGGACAGGAGCAACTGGGGGAAACCCTGGCTCTTAGTTACCAGATGTTCTCTGTTTACCAATGGCGCTTTTTGCTTTCCAAGCCTTTCAGCCCCTATCTGCAAACTCTAGTTGCACTGCCAACTCTGTAGTCCTTTCTAAAACAGTTGAACCTTCTGATTATTTTATTTCATCCATTTTTTTGTTATTGTTTTTCCAAACTCCTGTGTATCCACTCTCAGCTTTTCCAATTGTTCAACCATTCTCGCAACCTTTAAAGACAAATGCAGGAAGATGAAGAAGCAAAACCAGAGAATCCCCTCTGCGAGTAAAGTGGGAGAAAAAGAGGTAGTAAAACTTTTGCTTATATCCTGAAACAGTATATTCATTTCTCCGCACCCTGCTGACTCCCCCATGGCATTTGCCATTATTTTAAGCCTGACAACGGGACTGGTTGACATACTTTTAAAATTCTATTTATTTTCATTTCTTAATGCCTTTTTCTTCCTACTCCATCCCATTCCTTTCCAACACCTGAACACCAGGTAGGAAAGAAAGGTTAGTGGGGAGAGGGTTCATAGTTTTCCTTAGCTACTTTCTTCTGGTTAGGGTCTTTGGGTTCCTTGGGACCTATCCAGTCATCTTCTTTTCAGGATATCACCAGCTTCTTATCACTCTGCATCAAAAGCAAACAGGAGCAGCAGGAAGGAAACAGCCTTCTGCTTTCTTGTAGCCCAACACTCTCTGGGCTCTGGCATTTATTTCCTGTTCAGAGTCCTCAGGGTTAAACTATCTGCAGCTAGCATGAAGGCTAGCATGAGACAAATACTTTGCTGCTGTGGTCAATCTGGATTATTCCCTTATCCTCCACTTGGGATCAAAACAAAAACATGTTTACATCCACAACATTTTCCACGTTCTGTTTAAAAAAATATTGGCTTTTGCTCTAAGATTAATAAACTATATACAAGAATTATGAGAATTATCATGTAAGAATTACATTTACAATGTCCAGCCTATTTGTATTCGGCAATATTGGAAAAAGTATTCCACTACCTATCCTATCCTGTAGAGTCCTAAGTTCTGTACCTAAGTCACATTCTAATCATATTTTGTATCTATTAACCTAAAAACACCTATCTAGCACCCTAAAACATCTTTTTAGACATAAACCATTGTCTTAAGTTTAATTTTAGTAAAACTATGAGAATCTAGTCTTCAACCCCATCAGAGACTTGAGAAGGAAATAATACTACCTAAGTATATAGCAAGCATAGAGCAAAGAGCTTCCAGAATATAAGAAATGACAGAGACAGTTAACTGCCTGGACGCTCATCAGAAGTTTCTCTGTATCATTGGGGCATTCATCTTTAGCCTACTGGCCCAGAATATCTTAGAGGCTTTTCTGTGAAGCAGGAATTTTAAAGGACTGGCCTACCTAGTCTCTGTAAAGTGGCCCAATAAAGAGAGAGCACTGGAGGGTGTTGCCACAGGAAATCTTAAAATAGTCCAACTTTATGTCAATATTTTGTGTAACAACCATAGGAAATAATTTTTAAACAGTTTCCTCAATGTATCATTTATTACTACATAGATAATATTTTGTTGGCTGATTCTGATGAAGCTACATTAGAAAAAAATGTTTAAGGAAACACAAAGAATTCTGCCATGTTGGGGGTTACAGATTACTCCAGACAAAAATATGAGAGAGAGAGAGAGAAATGTCAGAGTGCAGATGGGAACCTGCCTTCCCACCCAGAGGCTACAGATCCAGCTGGCTGTACCACACACAGAGCCCCACTTGAGCACCACTTGTTAGTGTTACTTTTTTCTTTTTTTTTTAAGTTTAATTTTATTTATTACAATTTATTCACTTTGCATCCCAACTGCAGTCTCCCTCGTTTCCTCCCAGTCCCATCCACTCTCTTCCTTCTCTCCCTATGCCCTTCCTTTCCCTATTCCCCTGATAGGGGAGGTCCTCCTCCCCTTCTATCTGACCCTAGCTTATCAGGTTTCATCAGGAGTGACTGCATTGTCTTCCTCTGTGGCCTGGTAAGGCTTCTCCCTCCTCAGGGGGAGGTGATCAAAGAGCCAGCCACTGAGTTCATGTCAGAGACAGCCCCTGTACCCCTTACTAGGAAACCCACTTGGAAACTGAGCAGCCAATGGGCTTCCTTTGAACAGGGGTTCTAGGTCTTCTCCATGCATGGTCCTTAGTTGGAGTATTGCAGGCCCAAGTGGGCCCATGTATTTTGGCTCTGTTGTTCTCCTCGTGGAGTTCCTATCCCCTCCAGGTGTCAGTGTGACTTTCTATACTATCTTATTTTGGTTTCTTATACCTCTTCCTCACTTTTCCACCTCAATCCCTCCCATCAGCCCAGTCCTGGGTAGGAGAGAAAGAACATTAGTGGGGAGAAGGGTCATAATTCTCCTAAGCTGGTTAGAGTGGTTGGTTTTCTTGGGGAAATCTTTGTTTCAGGATTATCTCCAACTTCTTCTCATCCAACTGCATCAACAGCAACCAGAAGCAGCAGGCGAGAAGGGTGGGAAGCACCAGCAGCCTTCTGTCTCAGTGTCCCTTCAACACTCTTGGGCTCTGGCCTTTATCCCCTCTCATCGTACTCAGAACTAAACTATTTGCACCTGACAGAGAGCCTCTATCAGAGTCCGCATGAGGCAAATATTTTACAGCTGTGGACAGTCTGAATTGGTCCCATTTCCCACACCTGGAATTAAAACAAAAACATGTTTACATCCGCAACAGAAAAGACACAACTATTCCGATTTCTGTATATACATTGATGATGCATAAATCATCAATAGAAAAAACATATTAAATATAGCCACAAAAGTTGCATATTCTTTTGCATGTTTTTTTTTTTTTGTAATGAATTCTAAGGTGTGTCTGGAAACATGCTCCTCCTGCAGATGTTTATCTGAATTTGGCAGAAAAAGCCTTTACATGTGCTATTATACATACTATAGGGTAAAATCTTTAAACTTTTGGAAAATGGCCTCTTCACATGGAATGGATGTGAACACACAAACTGTATGACTGCGGAGTGTGAGCTGCTAGAGAGGTAGCTCAGTGGAAGGATGTTTGCCGAGCATGCACAAGGTCCTGACCATGGCTGTCTGCAAAGAAATGTCAGCCTCTCTTATTATAGTCTAGCTAGTACAGGAGTTAGCATTTATTTCATAGCTTTTGCATAACATATTCTTTAATTCTTTAATTCTAAAATAAGTAAAATTATATCTTACTAATCATTTAACACAAGACATGTGTGTCCTCCCTCTGTCCCATATCTTAGAGCACTTGAATCTTTTAAATGTATTTTACATATTCATTTCATTTCCTCTATTTATAAAATTATAAGAACATGCAAAAATGAAATTTTTTAGGGCTGTTGGATTGGCTCAGTGGGTAAAAGTTCTTGCCTGCCAAATCTGATGACTCATGCTTTATCTTCAGAACCTACCTGATAAAAATGAGAAACAATTTCTGCCAGCTGTCCTCTTTATCTGTGTGTTTATCTGTTTTGACATTCAAGTTTGCACCCCTCTCAAACACACAATAAAAAATAATTTTAAAAGAGTTCATTTTGATTATGAGTTGACTACTCATAAAACATTATAAATATCTATTGCTTTGACAATCTGTTCAGTTTCATCCTGTTATAATATAGATACATGATGGCAAAACATATCAGAAAGTATCAACGTTTAATCAGCATTTCACAAAATCATCATAAGCTATACCTTATTTGACATATTTAAATATTAAAAAATTAGAGTACATGGCTGAAACAACATGTAAAAATACAGTGTATTTACACTATCATTTTATATTACTAAAATAATAAGAGTGTTGTAAGAATTCTATGTTTTGAAACTAGTGCTTTAGGTTCATAATTATAATGCCTGGGAGTTACCAAAACTTTATCTATTAAGCCTGAAATAAAAATTTATTTCAGTACATCTGATATCTGTTTGTACGATGTATCTTTTTTTATTATTATTAGTTACCTTTTATTAACTCTGTATCCCAGCTGTATCCCTCTCCCTCATTCCTTCCCATTCCCACCCTTCCTCCCTCATCTCCACCCTGCCCCTTTCCAAGTCCACAGATAGGTGAGGACTTCCCCTTTCATCTGACCCTGTTTTATCAAGTATCTTCAGAACTGGCTGCAAAGTTCTCCTCTGTGGCCTAGCAGAACTGCTCCTCCCTTTTGGGGTGGGGAGGTCAAAGAACCCACCATTGAGTTCATGTCAGAAATAGTCCCTGTTCCCCTTACTAGGGAAACCCACTTGGTTACTGAGCTATCACGGGCTACATCCGAGCAGAGTTTCTAGGTTATATCTATACATGGTCCTTGGATGAAGAAACACGATATTTCTTATATATTATAACTTAATTATTTTAAATCACAAATGAGTATCATGTTTCTCTAACATTGTGAAATATTTGCATAGTACTTATACCAGGCATAACATACAAAATTGATAAAGCAATATGAAATGGAAAAGGTTTAATCTGGAAGAATGTCTTATGAACTGAGCTTTCTGTAGAACATGCAGGATGATCTCTAATGTATCTTAGGGACCCACGGTGTGAACATCTTTGAACCTGCACGTCAGCCACCATAGCACAAAAAGAGAGGTTTGTCTCAGCTTTGTATCTCCCCAGATCAAGGCACATGAGTGTCCTGAAGGAAAAGTTAATGCAGCAATCTGGCAGCACCTAATATAAAAAATGTTCTCCAACAACTCAGTTTTCAAATTTTGTATTAAATGAGCCAGAAAGTAAATGGAACAGAGAAGGACGTAGGTGATCATGGGTTTTAAGACTTTGATGTGGGCATTGGCAAGGGCATCTCTGCATCTTTCTGTATGCTGCTGCATCCTCTTATGATGTCTCCACAGGGAGAAAATGAGCAGGAGAAAAGTGGACTGGGAAATCACGAAGGGTAGGAAAGTGAAAATAGAGTAGTTAATGATTAAAATAACCCTGTAAAATGCTGCAGTGTCATTTGAAGAGAAACTGTACAGCAGATATCTTCTGTGGCCACCTATCTGGCTATCAATGTATGAGTTTATCAGTAGAGTATTTAGAAACAAGAAGGCCAAAGACATGAGCAAAGTCCCTGAAACCATCTGGTTAACTCTCATCTTTAAGTAAACAAAAATAGAGTTAGAAAAGTTGGCTATTTTAAGAAAATAAAAAAGGCCAAGGCATGCTGCAAGCCACATGCTAAAATGATTGCTGAAAATAATGTGAAAATTTAACAGTTTTACCAATATTGTATTTAGCAGCAAGTCTGAGTACAGTGTAGAAAGAAATAAATATGTGAGGAAAGTCAAAAGATGGGAGATTCTGGAGAAAGCCAAGGCTGTAAGTATTTGATTCACTGCCGAGATCTTTCTTTTCTTGACCCAGTGGATGCAGTTCACCAGGGCTATGAATCCATTTCCAAAGCATCCTATTATGATTTCCACAATGACAATACATAAAAGTATGCTCTGTATGATGCCATTCATTGTCCGTAAAGAAAGTTACGATTTCTGAGGTCACTGTAGAAAATTTGAAGAGCTGAATCCGAGTCTTAGATCTTCACAGCATACTCAGTGTTAAGAATGCTCTATTCAGAAACAAACAGCAAATATCAAACTTTGAAAATATTGGGCTCATAGCATATCATTTTTTTCTGCCAGAGTGACTTTTTCTCCCATTCATTTCAACCAAGCTTCATCCTGAATGTATTCTTTAGACAAAACGGTGTGGAGTATTTTTTAGTGGATCCTAAAGAAAATACTAAGCTTTTACGTTCTAAGATAAAAATAAATACATGTTATTTGCATTGGTGCCCTGATTCTGCCATAATAATATTTTCATCTGGAAACTGTAGTTGAAGACTATTAACTTAACAAATTCTAACATGCAGGAGGCAACTAGAACCCAAACGTGTGTAAGACGCTTTCTGTCCCCAGGGCTGACAGAGCATTGAACATTAGTGTTGAGCAGAAGCTCTTGAAACAGACATTGGATATGTCTGATAATGTCACAGACACTAACATTCAACTAAACTTTAACACTAAGGAGATAACCACACATGTATATTATTTTGCAAAGTGTCTGGAACACATGCACAACCCCCCCCCACGGTTTCCTTGAATTACAATCCCTTGTTTCACATTCAAATGTTTACAGATGATCTCATCTCTTATTATTCATCAGGCTGTGTATAGTCCTGTGACTGTTTCTCTGACAATGTTTAAAATGCTCTACCATATAATCACGTCAGAATTAATATAAAATTCAGCAAACTTGGGACTTTTAAACCCACACATGTAGAAAATACATATCATTAGCTTTAGAGATGAAGGAGAAACACAGGTGATGTTTCATTATGAAGGCCCAATCCCATCCTCAGCCTCCTAAATCAACTGTCCTCCAAAATCAGTATAATTGAAAAATCCTCAAAACTTTACAATAATTACACGGTAGACATACAATGAAGGGAGAAAGGGGTAGTTCTAGAAATCTTTGAGTCAGTTTCTACGAGTTGAAAAATGCACTTACCTCCAGGGGCACAAACAGTCTGGCTGGTCTTCCAGCTGGCAAAGATGAGCTCAAGTAAGAAGAGAAACAGAAATGCAAACACCCGGGGTGTGGCAGTGTAGAGTGGGTAGAGTACTTTATGAGCTATTTTGGCAAATTGCTATGTTCTATTAGGGCTCACTGGGAATATGGCTCTGGCACTATCCAAAGCATGTTTATTTTAAAATGACCTCAAAAGTCCTTTCTCTGGGGTTGGGTGGCCCATTTAACTCAGAGATAAGGGAGGAGGAAAGGCCAAGAATGGAAACATTGTGTGCTTGAGTAGTAAAATAGTAAGAGGCAAACCATTTCCAACAGATGTTACTATTATTTGTTCAGTGACATTAAGATTCCAAATGAGGGAAACGGGCTGGAGTTTCATCCATGAGGATCTTATTTCAGGGAAGAAATCTCAATTGGGATGTCCAGCTGACTATGTTACCTTCTCCAGTCAATTTTCAGCTGGAGAAAGGAGAATTTTGTTCCCTGGAAAGAAGGTATGTTTTCACCCTGGTCCTCTTTGCCAAGTCCTAGAAGTATCTTTCATTGTGGATTGAAAACACCATAAATTCCACCTTGGGATTGACCGTCTTTTCAGACAGCTAAAATGGCACCAAGAATAATTCAAACACACTTCATTTACAATCCAAAATAAAAAGTGAATGTCAAAGAGATGAGCAGTACCTTCATCCATTTTAATGTTTCTTTAGGTATATTTGGAGGCTTTAGCATGCTACATTTGTCATTGGTATTCTGGCTTTTATAATGATTATAATGAATTCAAGCAATCAAAGAAGATTAAGCAATTACAGTTTTTACCTGTATTTCTCCCTTTATAGGTCATTATGGTTATAATTGTTATCCCATGATCACATTTCTATAAATATTTAAAATGTATAAAATATAAAACTAAATTAAATGCTGGAACACTGCCATTTTTATTTAGTAAAAATTAAAATAAGTGGTTTTTAAATTTCTTTCGCCTTTTGAAACACTTGTAGTATCAATTCAAAAGACACTTTTAATAACAGTAGAAATTTTGTTTTATTGTGAGATAATTGAGAAATTGTGCTTCTGTGCCCCTATCAAACCCAGGAGACATTTAGCTGCCTTCTCAGAAAATAAAATAAAATAAAAAACACTAATATCAGAAGCAAGATGAACTTTTTTTTTTTGGTTTTTATTTTTATTTTTATTTTTTTTTATTAATTACACTTTATTCATTTTGTATCCCCCCATAAACCCCTCCCTCCTCCCCTCCTGATCCCACCCTCCCTCCCCTTTCTGCATGCATGCCACTCCCCAAGTCCACTGATAGGGGAGGTTCTCCTCTTCTTTCTGATCTTAGTCTATCAGTTATCATCAAAAGTGGCTGCATTGTCCTCTACTGTGGCCTGGTAAGGCTGCTCCCCCGTCAGGGGGAAGTGATCAACAAGCAGGCCAATCAGATTATGTCAGAGGCAGTCCCTCTTCCCATTACTATGTAACCCACTTGGACACTGAACTGCCATGGGCTACACCTGTGCAGGGGTTCCAGGTCATCTCCACGAATAGTCCTTGGGCAGAGTGAATGGAATTTTATGTAAGAAGTGGGAAATAGTAAGAGCTGGAGGGGATGGGAACTCCACAAGGAGAGCAACAGAACAAGATAATTTGAACACAGGGAACTTCCCAGAAAATCATACTCCAACCAAGGACTATTCGTGGAGATGACCAAGATGAACTTTTAACTGAGTAAAAGTCCCTGAGGTTTTGAGGACACACATTTGGGAGAGTAAAAAGACAGCTGAGAAGTGGTCCTCTGTGAGATAGGAAAAGATCAATAAATAGCAGTGAAGGATCAATGACCTAAAAGCCTCAGGTGAGCTGAGAAACTCTAGACAGGAAAACTGACATGTTAATAATATCATCCACAGAAAGTTACCCTCTGGTATGCCCCTAATAAAAAGATCAACATATCAACACGTGCTGGTATTTAACCCTTTGAGACTGCAGAGAAACAGCTCTGCAGAAGGAATGAAGGAATCTTGTACCCAAAAGTTCCCTTTCTACCTGTACTCTGCCCCATCCTCACCAAGTCTCAGTGTTGACAGCCTCCGCTCCCACACAGGAGCTGCTGCCGCCTTCTGATTAAATAGCCAGTTGCTCCTGTAGAGGTTCCTCTCCATCCAATCCTGGTCTAACAGGCAGCATCTTGGACCAGCTTCCTCCAGGGATGCTCAAAGTTCAGGCTGATGAGTATGGTGAAGTCAGATTCAAGGATGTAGAGAAGACCACATCCTTCAAGAGCAGCCACCTGAAGTGGGTTTTCAAGACCAAGTTTTGCTAATTTAAGCCATTTACGTCTATAACCGTAGAAGACTGAACTGAAAGGTGGCTTCCTGAGGTTACTCTTTGCAATGAGAGTAAAAGGTCTTCACGCAACTACCATTGATGTTTGAGTAGTTTTTAGTTCTGTTTTATTTATGTTTCTTATACCTCTTTCTCCCTTCTATACCCCAACCACTTCCAACACCAGCTAAGAGAGAAAAAAGGTTAGTTGGGAGAAGGGGTATAGGTTTTATTAGCTACTTCCTCCTGACTGAGATCATCAGGTTCCTGGAGGTAAATCCAATCCTCCTTTAGGGATATCTCCATCTTTTTGCCACAGCAACCAGCAGCCTTCTTCTTTCTTGGAGCTCTTCCAAACCCTCTGGGCTCTTGCTTTTATTCCCTCTCCAGTGCTCTCAGAATGAAACTATCTGCAGCTGGCAAAGAGCCCCTCTCAGAGCCTGCACAAGGCAAAAACAGTTTGCTGCTGTGGACAACCTGATTCAGTCCCATATCTCACACCTGGGACTAAAACAAAAACATGTTTACATGTTAACAACCAAAATATCCACAACATATTGGGACAATAAAATGAGGAGAATTGTTGGATTGTTGTCAGTCTATGATTTCTTGGTGGTTAAACAGAAAGTGAGTCACCAGAATCTCCAAAACATGTCATGAGGTAGGTTCCCAATGACCAAGTACTTATGAACAACAGCAACAAAAGTCACATGATCACATTTTCTTTGACTTCCTGGGACAGGACTGGAGCAACTGACTCTACCACCTGGGGCTCTCACAGAGCATGTGTCCTGATGTTCTTCGTAAGATTATCTCCAGAGCTTTTGACTCATGTCCATCCTAGTGGATTTCATTGGTTCACTGGTGTGTTTCTAGCAATCTAGATGAATATGTAACTGATACTTAGTTTTGACAGCTGCTGAAATTTTCACATTGTTTGTAACTTTCAAGGAAAATGACACCATTATAAGAACGGAAGATGAAAGAAGAGTGTCACAGCCTCATGATCCACAGTTGTTTTCCAGGGAAGAGCCTTACTATCAGACCAATATGCCCTCTGATGCAGTTTATGACCGAGTCTGTTGCACAGAAATGTCTATTGACAAGTATTTCTTTTGTTGGAAAATTCAAAGCAATTCCATTTGGGATTTTGAAAACAAAGCACACTACCCTGATGCATATTCTATGCTCTCAATTTTATTGACATTTTATGAAATATAATTCTAAATCAATGTATTAATGCTACCATAATAATAAGTAACAATAAGTAGGAAATGATAATATCTTTAAATAATGTAACATGAAAGAGTGAAACACAAAACACCATGTTACTAATTCTTCTTTTGTGATGGTATAGCCTTTGCTTTTTTGGAGTAAACATGATTTCTCAAGTATTCATCTTTTTTTTTAAAATATTTATTATATATACAATTTTCTGCCTGCATGTGTGTCTGCACACCAGAAAAGGGGACCAGATCTCATTATACATAGTTATGATCCACCATGTGGTAGCTGGGAATTGGACCTTTGGAGAGCAGCCAGTGCTCTTAACCTCTGAGCTATCTCTCCAGCCTCAATATTCATCTTCTTTATCATGGTCTTTGCTCAG